TCTCACCTTTCTACTTCTGTTTCCTTCCCGTCTAACGGTTCCTGGTCCAGTGCTTTCTGCACTTCCAACAGTTCCTTCACTGTATTTTCAGGTCAGGATAACGGCTGGATTTTCTCAAAGAAAAGAACTTTGCACACATAAGGAGACGTGCTCAGAAGATGTTGGCTGTCTTTGGATCTACCTTCACATGCGAACAAACATTCTTACTTATAAAATTTCACAAGTCCAGGTACAGATCCTCTCTCTTGGCGATGATCACCTGTCCAGTGTCCATTGTATTTCCACCTCTTGTTGCACTTATTCAAGCCTAAAACAGGCAAGTATTTCTTCACTTAACAAGAAAAAAATAACTGAAAAATACCAGATAAACTAAAAAACTAAATGCAAAGTTGCAACAGCACTTCAAACATGCACATTTTGTTTACAGTTCTCTGGACGCAGCGTTTGCAGTGGGAGAAACGTCCAGATGAACAGAATCAACTTTTGGAGATTTACTTACCTTGATGATGGAGATGCATCAAGACATTTTGTTTACAGTTGTTTTTCTGGATTTGATTAAATAGTGATAAAATATTTGCATTTTTATAATGCCTGTTTCATATTTTCATTCCTTACAGCATCCACTCTTACCATTGGCAGTTTTATGTAATAATAATTTATGTATTATGGAGATAAAAGTAATATTATACGAAGCTGAGTTCAGCTTATTGGTGCAGCACTCTACAACAGTCCCAGGAGCACCTCGGGAAAATTAATTGCCCGCCTTTGGTTTGAATGGTACATAGAGATGTAGCCTCAAGTCCAGTTATATCGAGCATGACGCTGAATCATGCTGGTTCACCTATGATGCAGTTATATAACAGAAACCCAAGTCTCAAAATTATGACTTCTTATTGCTAGTTCAGCTCTTAACCTGCTGAGTTATTCAGCCACTGAGAAAATATGATGATATTATGGACTACAGCTACAGTTTGTAGTTCATAGACAAATAGCAAATAAGCTCATCATGTGACACACAGTGACACCAGTTTAATTTACAAGTGGATGAACATAAATAAGATTAACATGTTTCTTACATTTAATAATAATAAGTCTTTGTACACCAAACAGACGTACCGCGGTTGTGATCATACAAATAGTCAATATAATTGTTGACTGTGGGAGAAAAAAACAAACATAATTATTAATCAATAAGACTAACAGAGATGACAGAGGAGACATGACACTCAAACATCCCTAATAGAACTACTGGGGATTATTTCAC